GGGGGGGGGGCACAATATCAATTGATCCAGCAGAGCAATAGCCTATAGGCAAAACACAGAAGATCAACAAGAGATATGACATCAAATGAACCAAAGCTGAAGTAGACGGTCAACTTCATTCACTTTCTTTACGTTTGATTGATTGTAATGCTCTACGCTGCTATCTCTCGTCTCCTCTTCAAATCTACACTTTTCGCGGCACACGTACAGCCAATCAGCTCTCTGAATTATGAGATGACGTTTGGTGGGTATGTCAGCTCAGTGCCCCTATGGCGATAATTTGTTTGCCGCACACATTGAATAGGACAATACTCTGAGCATGCGCAGTGTAGTTTTTACAGCACCCATTCACTTAGACAGTGAGAGGGAGGGGCTGGATCAGGGCTTGACCCACGTCGCTCAACACGGCTCAATAGGCACACACTGTAGACACTAATTAGAAGAACACAGACTAAAACAGCAATGTACAGACGAATCAGATGATTAAACATGATCTTAAAATATATTTTAAGATGTATTCTTTTTGCATTTATTTGGAATTATTATTTGAATTACTTTCTGCTGACACTAGGTGAGGCTGTGCCCCAGCTGCCCCTAATGACCAGTCGCCACTGCTTACAGTTGAAGAGTTGCTTGGCCTCCGATGGTTTGAATGATATTATACGATGTGTTGCTCAAAATAAAATAAAAACTTTTACACATGCAACAAAGAAAAGAGGCCTTTACAATATTCAAAACAAATAGGCAAAACTCAAATAAAATAACAAACAACTTAGGTATTCTTTCTTTCCTGATAAGGCTTATATAACGTGATAACTTAAAGGGTAATTGGACGTTTAAAAACTGTTCCTCAACGGCGTCTTTCTAGCAGGTTTCCCATCACTGTCACTTTAGAGAAGGCGCAGTGGGAATTGAAGTCTTTTATGCTCTGGTTGACTACAGACGTCACTATTAGGTGGCCTTTCTTATAAAAACAAAATACTGGCTCTAACAATCCTAGTGAAATAAAGTCAGTTCACGATCCTCCTGAACTCACCTGTGGTTTCCCCTGAGCAGCAGGAGCATGTGTCCTCTGTAGAGGAGAAGCTCCGCTGTATGCGCTGCAGCCTGCAGGAGGTGCAGCTCCACTCCTCGCAGCAGAAGCAGACCATCTCTGAGCTGCAGGCCAAGAACAGCCAGCTGAGCGTGGGGGTGGACGGACTGAGGCGCCGCACAGAGGAGCTGCAGCAGGTCAGGACCCCCAGCTGTACACCTTTCACTATTCAGCCTGTGTGGACATCGTTCAATCCAATATGTAACTCACAATATGGATTAAATAGTAGTGGTGCATAATAAAATATACTAAAGTCCTAACAGGCAAGTGAGAAAAAGAAACTCGGGTGATCATAGGTGTTAAGTTAAATCGTATTTGCTTCTGTGAAAACATTTGTTGTGGTCCTGTAAATGTTGTTTTCATGTGTAATACATTTGGGGAAACAAGTTTTGCTAGGATATTTAAAGTTACTTGGAAGAACACAGGTGTTTCATCTTATTTCAAACTTGGGGATGGTTTTTACAAGACAACTTTTTTTTATTTTCGATTAAAGTTTGATCTGAATAGTTTTTCTTTCTCCTGCGTTAATGACTTTTGAATGAGTGAAAGAAAAGGTGTTGCCAAGATAGGGTTTGGGATACTATTTCTGAGATCTTTTTATCTTCGAAACAGCATTACAACAAGAAACACTTGGGGAAATGATCCCCATCAACAAGTCTATAGGACTCTGAAGACTATCCTGGCACAACCTGGTTTTACTTGATCTTAAGTCATAAACACAGGGGAGAGGCCACATCAGATCAGACCCCTGTTTGTGCAGTTTGCGTGAACATGTGTTCCCCCCCCCAAACAGAAAGACAGATTCACGTTATTTAACTACAAACTAGAAAGAGGGTGTGGAATGTGAACATTTAGAGTTGTGAAAAAAGTACGTCTTCAACGTTTTCCAACATCTTGTAGCCTTTTCCCATGTTTCTTTGCATATGTAGGCAAATGAATCAAACGTTGAATCAGAATCCAAGGGAGAACATTCATCTTCAACCTCTGCTCATTCATATTGGCTCATCATTTAAAGCAGGGGTGGGGAACCTCCGGCCTCCGGGCCGTATACGGCCCGCGAGACCATTTGGTACGGCCCTCGAGGTAATTTATAAACACACGCAAAAAAGAAAAAAATTCAAGAAATCTAGACCGCAAAATAATTAAACAAGCTTGTTTTTCCTGGCCAAGTTCAGGGTCCTTGAACACAACACGAGCCTAACGTGTCATCACGTGGTATATGTCTCGTCTGACAGGAGTGTAGTTCTAACGGAGAGCATCAGAACGCGGCTCCGGGCCGGGACTTCACAAATTGCAGTACCCATAAGGAGCCGTACACATGCCGCAGTTTTTGCGTGGCTGTGTCTTTAGTTGAAAGCCCAGTGGCGATCTGTCATACTGATCATACAGTCAATAACTTTGTTGTTATTAGCATCTGGTTAGCTAGCTATGCTAACGAATATAAGAAGCTTTTTCTCCAACCAGTGAGGTAAAGGCACATCTTTATATGATCATTATAGTTATAGAAAAATAAGAGATTAAAGTAAACAGGTATACAATACTAATATGACAGTA